GGGGGGCATGCTCCTGGAAGATTAGGGTGAGATGACTTAGGCCAATTGGGACTTAGGAATCCTGTCCTGTCTCATTAAGAACACATTACTATCTCATTGGGGGGTAGGCTAAACCTTCATGACTTAGCCGCCGCAATTTGGAGGTAGTTTTCACAAGTCCTTTGTCATTTCAGCCTAGTATAGTTTTATTGTAGAAATGATCATCCCCAGAGATCTAGAGGGAAGCTCTTGAATTAGAAGCTTGTACATACAACATGTTTAATATGTATATATTATCTCCAATGATTACTGACAATAAATAAATCTAACTATTTACTCCCAAAAAGAGTTTTAGTCTTGTTCCCAGCACTTCCACAGCAAAAAATACTGTAAAACACGGGGTTTTGTAGCATGTGTTCTCTTAAACTAAATAGACTAGAGCTAGAATAGAATTAGGTAGAATTAAATTGGATTTGAGTTAGAGCTAAGATAGAACTGAATCAAAACCGAATTTTAACTAAACTTGTATTGAACTATAACTATAGCCTAATTGAAATTAGATGAAAGTTGAATTAGAAAGGAATTGAAATTAAAATTAGAAGTTCGCCAGAATAAGATGTAAACGCTTGAGCTACAAGCACAGAAGTACGCTCGCGAAGATTTCCAACCGTTTCATGTAAAGGACAGAGTGTCCTCGCAACTGCATGTCGAGCTGTTTGGAAATGCAAGTGGCAACCGCATTGATACCAGTCAGCAGTTAATGCACTCAGACTTGTATATGGAGATTTGGACAAGGACAAAGGAAGTGTTGAGCTCAAACGGTTTCAGATGTAAGCAAAAAGAACAGATGCCTTGAGGTGAGAAGTAAGCTCAGATGCTAAACCAAAAAACCTTGAGAAAAAAAAAATAAAAAAACATTCTGAGAGACTCTTGCTTGGACCCCCAAAATCAGAAGAATCAGAAAACCAAAAAAACCTTGGGAAAACAAAAAAAACCTAAAAAACCAAAAAAAAACAATTCTGGGGAAGTCTTGAGGAAAAGGGGGTCCAGCCAAGAGTCTCTGAGAATTGTTTTTTAGTTTTTTTAGTTTTTTTTGGTTTTCCCAAGGTTTTTTTGTTTTTTTGGTTTTTCTGATTTTGGGGGGTCCAGCCAAGAGTCTCCCAGAATTGTTCTTTTTTGTTTTTTGTTTTCTTAAGGCTTTTTTAGTTCTTTTTTGGTTTTTATCCTTTATGCATATTTATCAGTGTTTTTTGGTTTTGATTGTGGCACTGATGCATTTACCTAATATTTATGAACATTTATGGACAACCAAAACCCAGGCCCCATGGCCACCCCTTCTGTATATATACAGTATTTGTTTTTTCTTCTGATTTTGTCAGCAAATATTAATTCGGGTCTGTGTCTGTTAATTTCTGAAAAGGTGCATTGACTTGACTTGCATTGAAAAAATCAAACCAATACGCTCACATTGTAGGAGCAAGTCGAATTACCCAGGGTCCATATGAGGACTGACCTGAATTAAGCTTGACTGATTGGCTCCTGTTGCAGCTCACGCGTAGCTGCCAAGTTCTCCCGCAACCCATCCTGTTGAACGGACTCTTGTCCGGAATCAAAGGCCACCGGGCCGGGTAAGCCACAAACTCCAGACTTCTCACAAAATATGGCGCTCGAATGCGCTCGATCTTTTGCTCGTTAATCCCAGCTGGCAGTAATTCTCAGAGTGTCGGTGCTGGCGCTTGGCGACAATCCAGGCTTCGCGTCCTTTCTTGCAGCGCACACAATTTCAAACCACCTAAAAAAATACGACATCACATTGACACAAAGCAACTCTCTTCGCTCTCCGATGCAGGGAAGTAGAATGAGTATGAATGAGAAATGTTTATATCGATGTAAATTGCAAGCTTGGGCTGGCGACTAGGAAGGCAACACGGCAAAACCAAGCGCAAAGGCGCTCCCGGTCGGTTGTTGAGGCGCCGCGATGGCCAGCCTCCACCCTGAGAGGAAGAAGACCGAGAGTGTCAACGAATATGTGATACATGTATTGCGATGATCTGCCCTTGAGAAGCAAGAACTTAGTTCTTTGCCTGGTTCTTCGCTTTGATGTCGCACTTGCCTGCAGCATCTGTCACCCCAAAGTCAAGCCTATTATATAGATCCAAAAAGGACAACACATGAAGCACCTGTGACTGTCGCCGCAGAGAGACCTTTGCGCTTCCCACAATGCGAGCTGAATCACTAAAAGACCTTCCGCTGAAGGAAGCTGAGGTAAACTCCGATTGGGGCACCCTCAGTCGGGTCAAACACTGATCATTCAAAGGTGACAGCTGCTATGAGCAAGGCTCCTGGGTAGAGAGAGAGGGAGAGGAAGGAGAGAGGAAGGAGAGAGGAAGGAGAGAGGAAGGAGAGAGGAACGCGAGAGGAAGGAGAGGAAGGAGAGAGAAAGGGGAGAGGAAGGAGAGAGAAAGGAGAGAGAAAGAGAGCCCTGGTACGGGATTCGGGGGCTGCTTTGCTTGTAGGCCCATACAGTGCGGGTGGCAAGTAGCATGATTTACCCTGCGAGGAGCCTGTCTGACTGGGTTTGGGACTTGTCAATCCTGAATGGTCTTTGCCCGCTCATACAACTCTGAGTGTCAACGGCCTCAACGAGTGCCGTTGAAAGTGAAGCATGGCGCAAAGAACAGGAAGATTGGAAAAACAATTGAAAAAGAGTAAATGAACATAAATAAACAAAGAACACACAGAACAATAAAGTCCCCATATACTTCGCCCGAGCTCTCAGCCGGGCGTGGAGGAACGCCAGCTCCTTGTGCAACTTGAGATTGCAGCCCTGCCTGTACCAATGGACATCAACTACTCGGAGAACTCCAACTCTCCCCAGCTCCCTGGCCTTCTCGCTTTGAGATGTTTCCTCTTCACAGCGTTGCACTATGCTGGGTGCAAAAGTGGCTTTAGAAAAATCAAACTCTGCACCATTGCCGTTAGTTTGTGAGGTTTGCCAAGCAACTCTGTCCATGACTGTGCGGCGCGAAAGTGCTTCTGGCAGATGTTTTGCTCCATAGGGAGTTGACCTGGGTAAATGCCGACGTGGGTCACGGCGCACCGCTTACCTTCCTGGCTCCCAATTTGTTTTTGACGTTCGTTTCTTTGAAAGTTTGTCTCGTTCTTCCTAGTGACAAGGCTCGGGCTCTGTGCTCAAACGACATACAGATGCAGAGCTGTCCTCGTAGCTGCCTGCTTGCATCACCCGAATCGTCCTCACACCCCAGTTGCAATACCCGTTGGAAGCGGACAAATTCGCACAGAGTCTTGCTACCATGTCTTGATGTCTCTGGCAGATACAAACAACTGATAGCCGCTCCTCTCCGCATATTTTCCCGGAGATCCGATGTTGGCAGTGTCCATGGCTGAGGGTTTTGGTGACCTTTCTTGGCACATTTGCTTGGCAGAATCTGCCCGACACGGGCACGCAAAAACACTTGGGCAATGGCGGTGGAATAGGACCGGCGCTTCCCAGTATGGAGGGTGTTTGGCATTGAGATAAGGTCATCGCAGCTTGAACTGGTTCTGGCCTGTGCAAAGAAACAGGACCCACTTAGCATCGTGTCGTCAACAGAAGCAGAAAGGACCAGAACGGCAGGCAGGCGGCAGGAGGAGGCCAACAGTATGGGTGTATAGTATGCGTATGTACAAATATAAAACTGTAACTTGCGCCTCGAGTCAGGGGGCTTAGGAGTGCACGCGGTCGTGCCATGCTTGGGTGAGGACACCCCCGACTTTACTTCGAGGACATCATTGGATCAGGATCAAAGGACAGAAAAGAGAGCGCTTGGGGAGCGCGCTTTGGGCCCGGGGCCCCACCTCTGTTGTTGCTGCCAGTGTGGATCTCCCCAATCCACATTAGTAGCGGAGCTACCTGCGATCGCTGAACCGGGTTGGACACTGACCTCTGCACTGCTGGGCTAGAGCTGGTTGTGGACATTGGTTGTTTACATTGCTGGCTTGCGTGACATTGTTTGCTTCATACAATGCTTGTTGCAGTGCGTTGTGACATTGAGAGTACATTGGTTGAGTTGAGTTGACAGTTGGTTCAGTTGCAACCGCTGAGATCCAGGATGCCGGGCGGTGATGAGGCAACAGCCTCAAGCACTGGTTAGCGGTTTGACATCCTCCTCATTGTCGCACAGATGATTCCCGCCTTCAAGCCTGGTGAAGCGGATATCAATGAATACACCAACAGCTGGAGTTCAATGCTGGCCTGCGGCCAAAAGAACATTTGAGTTACTTGCGCCTCGCGCTGCGATGCTTTCTGAGGGGAGTGGGGTTCCAGAAGCCATCGTTGTTTTGAGAGTGATTGTGTCCCGCGGCTTAAGAGTGCACGCGGTCGTGCCATGCTTGGGTGAGTATGTATACAGATATACATATATATATATATATTATGTGAGACCTGCGCGAGACCTGCCAACTTTTTTGCGACTGTGAGAAAGCATTCGCGCTATGATGTCCCTGTCCTGTAGATACCTAACCACACATAATACAACCAGAACCCCAAGACCGACAAAGTCTTGATTCAACCTACCAAGGTCAATGCAATCAACTATTAATGATTAGCAATGAAGCTGGACATCATCCATAATTACGTATTATTATGATCGCACACCAATGAAAGAAAGCACAGCTGCGTTGACTGCCACTGCTCATGTTCGTTTTTGCTCTGCTGATGACAGCTGTTGGACACCCTGATTCTCCACGCAGCGCCTTGCATGTTCTTCTCCCAATGATCTACGCCTCAAAAACGCGAAGCTGCTTGCGCAGCTGCAACCTACATCACAACCCCGCAGTTTCGATTGTATGCTCACTGCGGACTGCTCTTCGATGTTTCTTAAAACCCGCATCATCGACCCGACCCGCATCATCGTTTCTTGCAACGAGATTTCCAATCCCGGTTAACTTGGCTGCTCACAAGTGATCGACGCTTCGATCCCTGGTTGAAACAGCCTCGGAAGCAGCGCCGGTCTTTAGCATAAATGGGCAATGTAAACATCACTGATGATATCAGTGGTCAGTGATTGAGCCAAGATTGGGACATCCATGGCTTCTGCGAGCAGCAACCTCAGAACCGATGGTTTGGTTCAGTTTCGGCGTGCGGTCCATAGAATTTTTTTTGATTCAAGTGATCCTTCAGAAGTGGTCATCTTTATGTTGGCTACAGCCTCACGATGTGTTGCCCTTTTCGTTTCATTTGGGGCGCGGTAGGCTCCCCCTTAACTTCAGCATTTGGGGCACGATTCTCGAACAAAAGTTGGAATTCCACCAGTGTTGTCCACTGCTGGGATTACAGCATATATAGTACTGGCCTTTGCAAACACATAGACATGTGCAAAGATAGTTCATATTATAGAAAACCCTACCTTAGCCGGGGCCCTGATGGCCAATTAGTGATGTTTAACATAGTTGGGGCAGGGTACTTCTTTTAGGGTTCGAATTAAAAAACCAATCGTCGTGGTTAAAGGCTGGGGGTCAGTTCTTCTAGGAATTCATTAAACTGGGGCGCCCTTGACCTCATTAGTTAGTTGCCAGTTGCTTGAGCCCTCGAAGCAACCAGAAATTATGGACGCGTTCACAGCTGACCCGCCCCCAATCTCAAAGTGTGGGGGACAACGGGCAGTCTTCCCACGTTTCCCCACGAAGCTACGGAAGACTGACCCACTGCCTACAGAACGATTCTGATGTCTCGCCCGCAAGCTGGAGGCAGAGTTGGTCGGCAGACTTGTCTGTTGGTTCTCTTTCCTTTTCCGTACCCTATTGGAGTGATTCGTCCGTCTCGCTCCTTAGAACAGGAGGCTTTATGTTTTTCATGTTTTTCTAACTTGCCTAGAGCGATTCATGTGTCTCGCTCACTGTGTGGAACTATCCCTACTTCTACCTACTGTGTCGGTCGCTTGTCAATCAGACATGTGCGCCTGCCCGAGTATTGAGTTTTGCGTGCGTTTGATACGCAGCTAACCTGCTACTAATATGGCCCCCAACCTGTTGCGTTGGCCCTTACCTAGATGCGATGGCCTCCAACCTGAAGGTGATGGCCGCCGACATCCACCAACCTTTCCTGTTAAATCCGGCCGCGCTGCGATTTTCAACCGCTGTCTTGTCAGCTTGCAACTAGCCTACTAAGTAGATGGCCTTCAACCCGTAGCGATGCCCTCCCACCTAGAGGCGATGGCCTCCAACCTATACACTCTTCTTGTTTTACCTAGTATTTTCTCTTAAGTTTTTTACTTAGGTTGGCGAGCGGTCAACTGCCAATCAATACCGCGCGCGATATCCCAAGTGTGTCTGGCGGGGTGAGCACGAAGAGCGCCCTCCGTGGCCTTGCTGAGCAAGGGTTTGCCCCTGCCCATGGGACCAGAGTAGCTCGCCGCCACTTTGGCGCGCCGCTATACACAGTAGTCCGCAACGGACCAGAGCAGGCTGACAGGAGCTGAACCTTAAGTGCGCGCACAGCTCATACACACCAAAGCCCAGCTAGGTTTGGCCGAGTCTGCTTCGATGAGGTTTGGCTTCGTTGTTTTCCGGCCCCTCCATTTGGTTTCCCTTTTACCCTTTCCTTTCTTCTTCTGTTTCCTGTCTTCTCCGCCTTCATGTCCTGCCATCTCACTCCGTTCCTTCTTTCGAAGGCACGTCGGTCCGGCCCTTATGTTTACGCGGTGTTTACAGGGACATCCACATTTAAAAATATGTAACATTCGTGGCATCTGGGTCTTAATTCACGCTAACTGGGTTGTAGATTTGCTGCTCCCACCCCACCTCCCACCACATGTATGATTGGCTGGCAGTTTATACAAACACACCCACCCCACCTCCCACCACATGTATGTATGATTGGCTGGCAGTCTATATACCCCTACCTCCCACCACATGTATGATTGGCTGGCAGTCACCCTACCTCCCACCACATGTATGATTGGCTGGCAGTCTATACAAACACACCCACCCCCTCCCACCACATGTATGATTGGCTGGCAGTCTATACAAACACACTGAAAATAACATAGTGTTACTATCTCTAGTTTCAAAATCACTTCACTCGTCAAATTCATCACATTCACAATCATCACATTCATATCACCTACAGTATCACATTCATCATTCATTCAACTTCACATTCACAATCTTCAAATTCTTGGTCCCTGCCCAAGAGTGTCGCGCAAGAGTGTCATCACACCCCTTTGCATCAGAAGCGCAACACTTGAGTTTGTGTCGAGCCTGAGGAATGAGAATGTGATCGAGTCCAAGGAATGAGAATGTGATGAATGTGATGAATTTGGGCGCTGTAATTTACTGTGCTGTATTTAGTGTGTGAGCTTTCCATGACTGAACAAAGACTTAAGGTTTGTGTATGTCATGCTTGTACATGTATACTCCACGCCATGTATACTGCGGTTTCATAAACACAGCAAGCAAATTGACACTGCAGTCTTTTAGTTTCCAGTATTCACAAAGACAAATAGCTTTCGTTTCCTGTCCTTTCCTTTGCCTTGTCTTGGTTTGCTATGTCATGTCACGTCTTGTCTTATCTGCTTTATCTTGTCCTTTCTTTTCTTTGCCTCACTGTGTAATCTATGCCTCACAGAACCGAAATGAACCGTGAACCGAACCAAAAATCCATGAAAAAAACTTCTACAACCGAAGTGATTCGCAGCTTTAATAAAACATTCAAACATATTCAAACTGATTCCAACCGAACCGAAACCGAATATTGCACTTATCGCGAATACCTACAGGAACGTTGCAAGGTACAAATACCTGGCTCATGGCCCGCACCAACGCGGTCAGAGGCACTCCTCCGTATCAATTCACAACCACATAGGGCTACAACCTTCCTTTAACCGTGTGATGTCGCTTCCCTTTGAGGCAGGGTTGCCAAAAACCATCAAAAACAATCTCCGCTCAGGACACTTGAAGCACTGCCCGGGCATGGAAATTCACGGCTTGAAGAGGTGCAGTAGATCGGTATATAGCATTAAAACAGCAGCAACACTCAGCCTGCACCTGTGGAAGAGAAGAAGGCTGCCATCTCATCGAGCCAAGCAAGCAAATGAGAAAATGCAGAAATGAGGAAGCAACAAAGACAAGAAAGGAACAAAGGAAGGAAACAACACAAAAAAGCAGCGAACAGGAGGACACATGCAGTACATGCAGAAAGAATTGCCATAACGCGCTAATCCCAACTGAGGTTGTATAAAAACCCCCTATCCTTTTGCCTTACCACTTTTGGCGTTATCGTTCTTTTTTCTTCCTTATCGTTTTACAATACTTTGACTAACTGCAACATATGTAACATATGTAGTATGCATGTGTGTGTGCACTGCGTGCATGTGGTGAGGAACCTGCAGACATAAAGACATTAGGTACAATTCCCCATGCTGGAGTCCATGCTAGAATCCCCAGACAGAAGATCTTATTGCTGTCCATGGCGCTCACATGTGGTGGCCTACCTACACAAAGGTCTTTTAGGCTCGCTGCGTTATCGTTTTTGTTATCGTTTTGTTATCGTTTTGGTGCCTGGTGCAACTTGGATTTTTTTAAAGATTCTGCCCTGAAGAACGGGAGATGGTTCACACTCTGTTTGTCGAGCAGGGACTGTTCTTTCGGAGGCCCAGGAGACACTCCTTGTTGCTCCCTCTGTGAGGACATAAGCCTAAAACCACAAATAGAAATACATGCCAAGGGATTTCCACAACAATCATCGGGGGTTATCGTTTTTTTTCCTCCTTATCGTTTTACAGTGGTTTGCAGATGCTCCAAGAAAAACGGACATGCGAATACTAATTCCCTGGGTGGGGGGTTTTTATAATCTCTCAACTAAGGTTTCTGACAAGGTATTTGCCAACTGCAGCGTTCTTCAGAGCGGGATCTTGCTTAGGTACTCCAGTCTTCAGAGAGACGGCAACTGTTGCGCGCAATGCTTGCACGATGCTGAACTGCTGGCCTGGCAAGCTTACTAGCCTAGGTAACATTGGGGAATCTACATGAATCAACCCAACCTGAACAAAGCCATGCAATCACATGATTGGAACGTGGTATTTGCAGGAGTGTGTGAAGGGCATGAGATGCTGATCATTCGGATGAAAAACAAAGTAAACCAGTTAACCAGCAAACTAACAGCCGGTCGGTGCCCTCTGTTCATTGACTCTGGATCCGTTCAACCGAAATGCTCCTTGTGCAAGCGCTGTTCCTGAGGAGCCAACGAGAGAGCTCCCTTTTCTCGCTGCTCACTGGCCTGAATAGCTCGTAATGAGGCAACAAGGACGGATGATATCCATGGACTACTAGCCTCCAACCTAATAGCGATGATATCCCTGTTGCTTGCTTTGCTTTTGGCCACAGTGTCTAACTGACCAAGGTAGCTTTTGTACCCAGGAACTGGACAAGGTTTTGCCGTGAGACTAGCACTCCGCTTGCAGCTCTATAAAGCGAGTTTCTGCTGGGAAATACTTTTTGTTTATGGTCACTCAATTAAGAAAGAATACAGTAAGAATCTCTGACAATCTATGATCGTTCATGATTGTCATGGTAGGTAGCGGTTGAATGCATGGAGAAATTGATACAACTCGGTACTGGCCCCCTGCCGCAACAAGCCTGACTTGCAGGCGAGACTCCGACAAAGCGCGTTGCTCTGACTCAGCCTGCCAAACATGGTCACAGTCTAGAGCACTGAGAAAAGGTTGCGATTATTTGCAAATCTAGCAATGATTATACTAATTGTACTAAATAGTTTGCTGCTTTCGAACACATGGTAGAAAGCTGTTCTGCTGCTTTACTGCTTGCCTTGGAGGAAGCAAGTTGCGCACTTCCAATGGAGGACTTCATTTCCATCAGGGCATTCTCAGCTTGTTCCCGCAACAGATGTAGCCTTGAAACGATGGACAATTGCTCGCAGCCCCCCAGGTTTGGATTGGCTGGCACGCTGGGAAGCTGACTCTCGTTCTCGCTGTAGATTTTGTGAGCTCCAAAGTTCTGAGAGGTTCTTGACCTTCGAAAGCGATCAAACTGATGATCAAACATGATCAAACACGGGTGAGATGCGAGGCTTCTAATGAGTGAGGGCAGCATTGAAACCACTGGGATTGGAACACTATGCTTGTGCTGCTCTGCAAGCTCACTGAACACGTAGTCTTTGCTGCGGATGATTTCCTACAGTAGCAAGCTACAGCAAGCACACACACACACCTGCAAGAGTGTATGCAAAACAGGGTCATTCCCGTCCTCACGCAGGTTGTGCCAATGCAGCTCGTCTGCAGCTTGGGAATCCTTGTAGCGCAATGATGTTCGCTAGACATAGTAGTAAAGCAGGTCAATCAACTCTCAGGACAAAGTGGATCTTCTCAGCAAATGATTGGTATAGAATCTATATATAGACACCTCAGTAAATATACCCATTATATCTACATTCTACAGTATATACCGCCAGTCACCTGCGTTTAGATTTGCCCTTCAGCCTTTAAGCTATGCTTGAACAGTCATGTCGCAGGGTGCCACTAGCTCCTCGAACTTCTTGTGGAGTAGTTGCTCAAACGAAGCTCGCCATTGTGCTGCTTCTTTGGCAGCCTCAATGTCGAAACACTGGCGCTCCAATGTAGATGTCAAACCACTGAGGGTAAAGGTGACCCCCACAAAAATTGTGAGTTTGCTCCTATGCCCACTGAAACTTGCATTGCCATCATGGAAGGTCGAAAGGCCGTCAAGCTGCAGCAATAGCCTCTTGCTTCTGCGCCTCTGTGGCTGCTGCGGTAGCTTCGCCTTGGAAGCCATGAACAGGTGGATCTTTGTCCACTTCACTGAGCAGGTGCAAACAAATGAGTGCAAAGCCAACAAGTAGATTATATATATAGAGCCCCCAAATGTCTACCTCTTTTAGTTTTGATTGGTATTTGCGGTGATTTACGCACATTATTTCTGGTTTGTTTTGGGGAGCAAATTTGAGGCGAAAGCGGGTTATATATATATATACATATTGTAGTGTTTCATGATTGTTTTTGATACCTAATTTACATAAATGTATATTGACTAACGATATTTTCAATATTTCTACATAACTAAACAATCTTAAGAAATCTTAAGATTTCTTAAGAAACTATGGTTCCCGAAGACTTCCTGCGTACCGTGTACCTGTCAGGAACGTAGTGTGTGAATTTGATAGAAGTACTCTCAATTCAATACGCCAGTCAGTGCGAAAATAACTCAATGCGTGAATTTAAGTCAAAATACTAAATACTAGTTAGTGAGATTGCAACTCGATTCTGTTCTTCTTCTCTCTTCCTCCCTTCTCTTCTCTTCTGTTCTCTGATAAGAGAGTGGGAGGGAAAGGGAATGAAAGAGAAGAGAAGAGGAAAAAGATGCTACTGAGATGTCATGCACACCAGTGAGCCTGTCAATTGTCAAGTTACTGTGTGGTTGCTACAGTTGTAAAACATTCAATTTGATCATAAATTGCATTCATCAACTCTCATATTGAAACCTGCAGTTGGCACAAGTCATCGTATGACTCGCGGTGATTACAAAAGTATTTTTCATTGTAATGTACACAAGTAATTGCGTGAACTGTGTTACTTTGTAATATTCGCAGTTGTATAGTATTAATTCAACATGCCAGGTGTAAAAACTTAGTGTAATGGTGTCAATTTATTAACTCACAAATCACATGGTCACTTGCATCAATCAACTTTCACATTTTACAAATGCATTAAATACAACAAACAGTGTGAGCTGCAACAATTAATCGTAAGTTGTCATAATCACAAGCGAACCTGTCAATTGTAATGTTTATCTGTGATTGTCACAATTGTCAAATAATCAATTCATGTATTGAGATTTTCAACTGCAACGTGAGAGTTGCATCATCAATTCTCATCCTTACACTTGCATTAGATACAACTGCAGGTATGAAACAACTAACAATGTACATTATCAATGGCCTTCACCAAATCTTAACAACATGACAACTTGACAATATGAATTGAAATCTTAACATATGATATTATCAATTGTCATGCGCACAAATAGTTCTGTGAATTTATGTGTTGCCCTGTGATATTCACAAATACAAAGCAAGCAGGTCAATGCTCTAGTTGTGCAAACCCAATGTTTGCGACTGTCACACATGTATAATTGTAAATTCCGGGTTTGAATTGTTTAAATGTAATGTCAGAAAAAACAAAAAACAAACCAACAATTCGCATAACCAGTTGTAATCATCATATCTGACAGTATGAATTGGAGTGCTCATATGTAATATTGTTCCTTGTCATGTACACAGTTAACTCTGTAAATTGTTATGTTATTGTTTTTGGCATGGTCATCTATATCCATTAATTCTAATGTTTGCAATTGCATTAGATACTACTCACTACTAACAATATGAATTGGAAGGTGTCCTTGTTCTCTAATTTCCCAACCTGGGAAAACACATGTCCTGATTTGTGTGCATTGGTCAGCCGTTCTGCTATTTTTAGTGCGTTTACATCACAGGACAACACAGGGTAAAAGCCATGCTTGCAAACCAAAAAGGTAGACATTTGCGGGGGGCAGCATATATATATATAAAGACATTATATAGCTACTAAAATAACAAGGCCGTTACTACTAGCAGCAAGGACGCTACCAGTAACAAGGGCACCGCTGCTAGTAACAAGGGCATTGCTACTAATAGCAGGGACACTACTAGTAACAAGGGCAACGCTACTAGTAACAAGTGCGCTGCTACTACTACTACTACTACTACTACTAGTAGCAAGGACCCTACTAGTAACAAGGGCATCGCGACTAGTAACAAGGGCATTACTACTAGTAGCAAGGATGCGCTAGTAACAAGGGCGATACTACTAGTAACAAGGACGCACTAGTAACAAGGGCATCGCTACTAGGAACAAGGACATTAATTACTACTAGTAGCAAGCACGCACTAGTAACAAGGGCATCGCTACTAGTAACAACGGCATTACTACTAGTAGCAAGGACGCACTAGTAACAAGGGCATCGCGACTAGTCACAAAGGGATTACTACTAGTAGCAAGGACGTGCTAGTAACAAGGGCAATACTACTAGTAGCATGGAAACACTATAGTAACAAGGGCGTCGCTACTAGGGACAAGGGCATTACTACTAGTAGCAAGGAAGGGCGTCGCTACTAGTACTAAGGGCATTACTAGTAGCAAGGACGCTGCTAGTATCAAGGGCGTCGCCGCTGGTGACAAAGATATAAACAGTGACGAGCAAGTTACATGGACAGGGTCCATACTTCTTGTCTGTTGTAATTCCTCCCGCAGCTGGGAAAGCTCCTCCACAAAGCGAGCTGCTTACCAACCCAAAAGCACCCATCAAAAGAAAAGATATATACATGTATATACGCACTTCCTGCAGTAGGGTCCATGACGCTAATTACGCTACTCACGCACACATTGATCTGCGCAGAAAATGCTTCGCGCTCCTTCTTGGCAATGTGAGACTCTAAAATGCTTCTTTGAGCTCACTTTGCCACCATAGTCCATTTTCTTCCATTCAATTCTTGTCTCTCTCTCTCTCTCTGCAAGTTTACTCTGTTCTCTCATCAGGAACTGGGTTCCCAGAGATTGGTGATATCGCTGTTGGTGGTGGTGGTCTATCTGGAAAGTTTCTCATCACGACTGCGCATTCTAGCAAACCTTTATGCCTTTCCATCTCTCTCTTTACCTTATCTGCTGCCTGACTCATGAGGTTCCAGTGTCTCTCACGGAGTTGCCCTAGCTTTGCTTCAAATCGACCGCGCAATTGGCTTGCCTGCTCTGCGATGTATTGTTCTCTGATGGATATTTCTCTGTTTCCTATCTTGAACATCTTGTTCACTGGTCCCTCTGATGGCGTTGCTCCATCTGTAGCTGCTGTCAACATCACAGTATGTCCCCAATACTGGTCTGTTGACGCTTGCATATCTTCCAAGCTCCTTCTGGCTAAGAAGTTTCCTGCGTTCAACCCTTGCAATACATCATAGGCAAGAACATCTGGCGTTTCAGGCTCAAACCGGTTCAAAGCCTCCATTGAGAATCAATCGTTCCACAACGAATGCTCCTGGCATAGTTGCGCAATGGGTCAATTTTCTCCTCACCACGCTCAATCTTACTAACATCTCTCTCAACATCTCTGATGCTAGTCAGTTTCACTTTCTGTGGTCCTGAACTCTATACCATCTGTCTTCCAATCAATGTACTGCCAATTATCATTGCAGCGTCTTCCTAAACGACCCCATAGCTCATCGCTATTCTTTGCACGTTTCATTTCAAGATGTTTGAAGATCCTGTAGATCACAAAGGCCAATGTCGCAAAACCGACATTGTTGAACACAATGATCCTGACAATCCAGAACTTCCAGTCTTCGTTGGATTTCATCACTGCGCCCAATTCACGTTGAGTATTGCCTTCTTTCAAGAACGTTTCTGTAACCATTGGCTACAAGCCCTCCAACGCTGCCATTCTCACAAGCATCTTTGCAATCTTAGCGACCTTTCCTGCAACATTCTTCTTCTCATCAAACACCCTCTCTCATACAATCCAACCCTCACTTGGTCTTCACTGTGCCAGTAACCAACGAGATTCAACAAGTATCTGGTTCTCTGTCCTCCAAGCGGTTTTGCGTTGATGTCTGCTATGTTCCATCTGTTGGCACTTGTACCATCTTGAAGTCCTTCCTGTTCTGAATCCAAAGCAACTTTCCATCTAAGCGTCTAACCTTTCCAACTCCTCTCTTCATCACAAGTTGGCGTGCACTTGGCGAATCTGCGTAGATGTAATGGCCCACCTTTGTCCCAAGAGCAACTTCCAGAACTGCGTGAATGTAGACTCCATATGACGCCGAGGAAACTATTGCCTGTAGTTCTGCTGCTGTTGAACAGTTGAACAATGGACAACTGTTCAACGCATGAAATCCTACTGACGTTGACTTTCTGTGGCGCTGTTTCCACTCCAGTCTGAACCTGAGAATGTTTCCGAGCACCAATAGCTTTCTCCTTTCTTGACATAACCTTCTCCTGCCTGTAGAAATTGGAGCGCTGGGCAATAGTCCATAGCCTTCTTCAAGTACCCTAGGCCCTAGGAACTTCTTCAAGTGGTGAAATGACATAGCTGTAGGGTTTGACATTCTTGAAGCCAATTCCTTCATCGTGAATGCTACATCATACCTCTCTTGACATAGGTGGATACCTGATCCAAGACTTCTGACTTGTCTTCCATCTGGATTGAGTGGTCTGCTGGTAGTTGTTGGAGTTTGACAGGCCCAATCTGATCTTCATAGGCTTCCAACATCCGCTGGGTGTAGTTGCCTGGTTGGGTCCACAATCCATCCTCAGAAAACTGAATTCATCACCAATCCTCTCAATCTTGCTCACACTGGTGTCAAATTTGCCTTGAATCTTTGGAAGAAAGATTTCGTTGATGTACTTTGAGTCTCCTGTGAAAATCAAGTCGCCCGCATGGATCAACATGATACTCTTCTCATTTCTTCCTAGGCGTGGACACTCAGCACTGAACTTGTAGTTGAGTTCCTCTGCTCTGTGAAAAGCCAAACCACGCTTTTGCTTCAACTCTGTGTCCAGCAAGGTTTCTTTTCCCCAAGAACTCTTCTCCTCTCAGGATTCCCTTGTAGGAATGCATCCTTCACATCAAGACATCCTAGTATCTGTGCAAATGCTCCTTATCCCTCTCTTGCTTCTTTCTCTTCACTGACCCTTTGCAAGAATATTGTGGGTAGAAGCTTCAGTACATGCCCGATATGGTTTCTTCTTCCAGTCATACACAGTGCGTGTTGTCAGGCGACTGATTCCTTTTGCGCTTCCCTCTGGTTTCTCTAGCGCTTGCATCTTCTGGAGTCTTTTCCCCTCCGCTTCATCAGCTACTCTGTCAACCCATTGTTCTGGATCTCCTTCAGGTTCATGTTCTCCATCGCGCCACAAGCATTCAGGTCCATGGATTTCTACCAAGTCTGCATCACCTGCTTCTTCACCATCCCACTCTTCTTCTCCAACTGCAACTGGGGATTGTTGTTGATCTACATGGTAAAGATCTTCGCCTCCAACTTTCACCATGTTCACCTTGGCCTTTTTTGCTTGAATCATCTGGCGGCCTGGGTTTCTTCATTGGGCTTTCCTCCTCAAGCAATTCAAAGGCTTCTCTTGGTCTCGATGGCGCTGATGGTGCTCTCACTGAAGATAGAATAGGAGTAATTGGGTTAGGCTGTCCTGCTGGCAATGATGTAGAGTGAAATGCTTTCACCTTCTCAAAGGTTTTCTCGCCCATGGAAAAACTTTTGCTCCTCACTTGGAGTCTCTTCTCCACTTGGCTTTCTTTCACCTCCATCTCCCTTCATTGCATCAACAGTGATTTCCAGTCTCCTTTGGCTCAGGAAATAGTGCTTCCTCTTTGTCTGAATAACTTCCTCCTTCCAGTGCCTTGGCCATGACTGCTTCTGCACCTTCATCCCTGAACTTCAGCGTTACACCTTCTCGAGGAATGTCTGTTGGCGCGGCTGGTAATGCTTCTGCTCTCTTTGGTGGCAATCGTCCTGCCCAAAGACTCCCAATGAAAACGCATTGAAGCTTTTGTTTATGGGTACGTATTTAGACCAATCTCGATCTGTTCTTCTGATACATTTGCCGAGCACTACCTGCACTCCATCTGCAAGCACATAGGTGTCTCGCCTTTCAACTTTTCCCAAGAACATAGATGCCACCTCGCTTCTCCTTTGCTGAACCTTTGATGTAACCATGAACTGGTTCACCATATTCTGCCAGAAGTCCTTTGCAAGTCTTGCCATAGACAAGTTCGTAGGGAGTTGCCCTGAAATCTGTTGAGCGCCCAAGTCCAAAGTGCATGATCTGGTCCAATCTTGATACCGAGTCTTGACTCCACACCTTCAATGAAAGTTCCTGCAAGCTTTCTCACCCCGTCAACTGTATTTTCTGATAGAAATGAATGGTCTCCAAGCTTTGAGTTTACCATGTGGTAGTGAGTCCTGAGCATTGGTCAGCATCTTAAGGATTTGTCTTGTTGTGAGTTGTGGGCTCATTCTCACTCCTGTAGGTGATTGCTGAATACACCAACAGCTGACTGAAATTCATCAATACTTGCGCAATTAGGCGAAATTGCCCTTCGCTTCCTAATGGTGCAACATGAATGAATCCAGTCTGGCTGTCAATTGCAACTAGCCAACATACTGCTCTTGCTGACTTTGCCTCTTGTCTAGCAAAAGTCAAAGCTTACCTCAGGAATACTTCCTCTCTTTACTCCACCTGTCCTCTCATGACGACCTGGACACGCCCGATGTCCAATACACTCCTTACACCCATTAGCGTATGGCATGTGCGTGCGTCAACCTGCGCCTTGCTTGAGTTGCCTCATCTGGCATCTTTGCAACACTTTGCCCTAATGCCTCTCTTGTCTCCTGGGCTTTTGCCCCACTTGCCACGCTTTTAGTTGCAATTGAGGATCTTAGTGTAGACCTTCAGCTCAGAGCGACTGCCTGAAGTGCCAAGAAATGAACACGCTGCCCTCAAATTTCCAAAGATCAATCCTTAGTCAACACTATTCCATTCACCAAGACTTTGTCTACGCCCATTAGGCTCACTTGAAGTTCACGTTCAAAGGTCTTCACCTTTCTTTCCCTTTTCTCTCTGGCCTACTACATCCTCCCGACGAGTAGGGTAATCTCTTCTAAGGCTTCCTGAATTTCTTTCTCTGTTCTCTGTTCTCAAGCTTCTTGCATCCTGGCGCAAAGAATCCCATATCCTCTGGCGGCGCTGGCTCACAGTTGAAGATTGAGATTGCGATTGAAGGAATGACTGCGTCATCATCAAAGAAAAATGCTCAGCAAGTTCATCATGCTCTCACAATACTCAGGCGTTAACCATCTACCTCCTCTTTTCAGCAAAGTGGTTCTCATCAGCTGTGGCGAAACCAACAACTTTTTTAAGTCAATAAGCTTCCAACTAACAGTCCATGCCCATTGAACCTCCAACCGGATTCTTTCTCCAAAGCTTCAGGTACTTGCACCTCCAGGCATTTCTCATCTTCATCTCGAACGACTCTAACGCTTGAATCTTGAACTGAAAAAGAGCGATTCTGTAGGTTGAGTGGTACCTTCAAGTCACCATTCCCCAACAATTGCTCTCTGCTATTGATTCCCCAATCCATCAACCTTCCATAACAAAGTATGGGCTGACTCACCTTTGAACTGAAAATCACATTCTCTTTGAGAAGAACTTCTCATCCATCAAAAGGAAATTTCAACACTTTTCGAGCCTCCCATGGGAATACGATTTCCTTGTGCATCTTGTATCGTAGTTCTCCTTCCCAATCATCTGCCATACTCAAAGGGAATAATGCTACATCAGCTCCACTGTCGATAATGATGGCCACATCCTCATTCTCTTCCCCAAGTAACCTCACCATGGGCTCATCATCTGAGATGTCAATCTCCTCAACTTCCTGGAATTTTGGCTCATCATCATCATCTCCAATGTAGAAGTGAACAACTCGATGCCTTAATCTTCTAGCTCATCATCTCCTTGTCTCAAGTCAAAAATGTTGGCTCACTCCTCTCAATTCTCCTGGCCACTGGTTTGGCCTCTGCTGAGCTACCTCGTTGGCTCAAATTGGCACGCTGGCGACTAACTGTGTGAGTTGTCACGAGTGCTCCTCCTGAAGATGAATGGGCTTGACCACTTGCTACCTGTCAAATATGATTCCTCCAACAACCTTTAGCAAGATGTCCTGGCTGCCCACAAGCGTAACACGTTGCCACACCTTTGCCTTGACCTTTGCCCTTGTAATCACCTTCCTTTCCTTTCTGGTATCCTTTTCCTTTCCTTCCTTTGCCCTTAGCATCTTTACCTTTACCTTTCTGATGGTCATTCTTGCCCTTCTTACCTTTTCCTTTGGCATCCTGGGCCCGATCAACCTCCATTGGCATATGCCCTTGATAGTCTGGATTTGAGCTGTCCACCTACACATCTCAAAAGAATAGCAGATTTCAACTCTTCCTGAATTGTAGTACCTGTCTCATCAAATACCTCTCCAAGCTTCAATAGTTGAGGTTGTAGTGCACTGTTCATTGAAAACGCTGGCCATGTAGTGGCTGCCCCACAGAGTGCCAAGCCTCTTGCCTTTGAGCTGGGCTTCAAAGCTTTATTCAAGCTCCTCCAAGCATCAAGCCCATTGGAGTCTTCCACAGCTTTCACCAATTGCAGTGCCCTTCCTCCCATCAATGAAGCCAACAACCCATAGAGCTTTGCTGTGCCTCAGTTGGCAAGCCGTAGCCCTCATCAACTGCACTCAGGTATTTCTCAAAGACCCATTACCACTCTCTGAGTGCCTTGATCTCTTCTTCTTGTGACTTGTAGTCAAAGATATTTGGCTTTGCTATCAACTTTGACCAGTCTGTAATTGATGACTTCTTCTTACCCTCAACTGCTTTCTTCACTGCCTCAGCTGCTGATGTTGTTGCTAGCGCACTCTGTGCTGTAGTCTGAAGGATTTCTCTGATCTCCTCCATCTTCTCCTTGTACTAATGTCTCTTGGACACAATGTACTGGGTACAGCGTGTTGCTTACAACAATTATTCACCAGTCCAGCTGTTTGGGTTCGAAAGGCCCAAGCCTATGGCTCTAAATCGCACCCGGGATCCCAGCGACCTAGGGGCTTTTCACTCAGAGCTCGAGAGGGGTTACCTCCTTCTCAGCTCCGCTACCATACGCACTTTTCCTTGATACGCAAAAGGGCTGCAGTAGGGTCCATGATGTTGATTCTGCTACTCATGTACACATTGATCTGCACAGAAAATGGTTCGCAATAAACAATATTCATCTTGACATGTCTTGCAACAAGAAGCCAGCCTCATCAAAGCGTGATGACGTATGCTTCAAAGCCTCCATAAAAGAGCCCTGCCCACGCCAAGCGGATCCAAAAATCATCAACAAGCAAGTCAGACTCAGATCAAGCCACCAAGCCTCCAACAAAGAATGCAGTTGATTGCCGAACCTTGCACATCACTCTCATATGATATGCCCCAAAATGGTTTGAGCTCTTTTTGAGCATCGGGCTCTTTGGGCTCTTGAAGCTTTTCGTTGGACCCTGCCTCCAACCAAACAAAATTTAGAAAGACCTTGATGCAAACCATGTGGACAAGGTGAACAAATGAAACGACGCAAACAAGTGAGAAAGTACTGCACACTGGACTAATTATTGGACAAACTACCCATGGCGTGCCAGCGCACGAAGAGCTCTGCCAGCTCGTTGCCCTGGCGCAGGACTCTCATTGGGCAGCTTCAAAGTTTACAAAAAAAAGCATGATGGAGTCGCCCCACAAGCAAAGCCTCAGGCGTTAGAACAGGATGCGGATAAACTGCTTGGTTTCACAAAGCTCTTTAAGATAGGGGCTCTTCCCTGGTTCGGCCAAGCCATTGCATCATGGCCTCAATGACTCGTTGCTTCATGATATATCATGATATCACATTCACTCGTCCCAAGGCAGCAACCGAAACACCATGGCCGTGCGGCCCTGACCTCTTCGAGAGAAATTGTAACTGTGCGAAAGTCGAGTGATTCCGTGCTCCCAGGAAGCCTATAATATGACACAGGGTCCGGGATCCTTGAACGCAAGCCTAAGCCAATACAACGTATGCAACACAAATCGAAATCGACGCTCGCCTGGAAGAGTCAACAAGTTGCTGAAGCTCCAATAAGGCCTGCCATAGAGTCATGGAGTAGACTGCTTTTAAAAAAGATTCATGTCCTGGGCCTGAAGCATGCGACGAAGGAAAATGGAGAGGCAGGACAGATTGCTGCTGCCTCGAAGTACTTCAGGGAACAAAACCTTGATCTTTATGATAGACATTATTTAAGTCATTAAAAGGTTCACTATGTCAAGCTGTCCACTATGTTGAGCTATGAAGCCTGGATTTCTCGCGCTATCAGTGTCATCGTCCTGCATACATATAGATATTGGCAAGTTGGACTGCCCCAGATTGCGACACTTTTAATACGTTCTCCTCAACACGAAGCTCTGCCCGCAGCTGCAAGAGTGGCTGCTGAACCTCAAGAAAGCACACACACTCTTTGATACTCATTAAAACATAATAAAACATGATATGTCACGGTCAAAGTTAAATGATGTTAAATGCATGCAGGGGTGTTCTCTAGAAGACTTCAAAGTGTCCGATTGTTTTCAAAAGGCTTGGCGACATTAGCCGAAAGCGAGCGCTGCAGAAAGCTCAACCCAATCCGCAAAACCCAACGCATGTTGCCCATCCTCTTGGCTCAAGACCAAAAGGCCTATAGCATCTGGAAGGTCGAACAGCCACGGAGCCTGAACAAAATAAACACTGAGCTCAAGGTCTGAAAGTGCCCCAAAGCCCAAAGCCGAAGCTTTCAAGCCTGAAGGCTGAAGCTGCTGTCAGCCCAAGGTGCGGAGCCACGACCTTTGGTAGCTGCAACCACTACATCCACCAAGAGTCTGTTCAATTCAAGCTGTCAACGCAAAGCGGGATTGGGCCACCACTTCCACTTGGAGCTGAGGCCTCGAAGAACAGTCTTGAGACTTCATTGCATTACCGTCTCTCGCTAGGCCAGAACGGTCGAGGCTTCTCTTCTCCTTTGCCTAGGCTGAGTTGGCATGCGTGCATACAAAAAAAGAACTGTCCACAGGGGAGGATTCCAAATAGTTTCATTCTTGGGGTTGGTCTATTTCCCAAAAAATGGGGTTGTATCTCGTGCGGGCGGGCAGTGTGTGGGTGTGGGTGTGGGTGTGGGTGTGTGGGTGGGTGGGTAGGTCTCCAGCATCATCCCATGAGGTGCCCTGTGAAAGGATTCCTCACACACCTGCCGCTCGCAACTTTAGTTTGACTCAAAATCTAATTAGGGACCAAATGGATAGAGCATAGAAGCGTGAGCTATGCTGCGTCCATGCGCTAGTAGCTGCTTAAGCTACTAGCTACCTCTAGCTACTACCTCTACGGCCTACCCCCTCCCCCCAAAAAAAGAAGTTATATTATATGTATTTTTTCGATCCAAGTGGTTGCGAGCGGCACATTCGTGCTCGAAGGGCGGCGAGCGCCCGGGGTACTTCCAGTCCTGGCAGAACATCAAACCTCTGCTAACTTATTTAGCTGAATACGTATCCATGTTAGAAGAGCCATGTCAAACCTGAAGGCATCTTTATGCATTGTTGCTTGGGGAGCGTGTGGTGCGGGCCATCCCTCAGCAGCCACCGTATGGACGAACAGAACTTGCACAACCTAAACTGAGTCAAGTCGGCCTAGCGGCTGCAGCAGGTGCCTCGTTGTCAAGGAACCAACGCCCCCAATGCACTCTTGCCATTTTCCATGTGGCTAAGCTCGGAACTGAACGTTGTATTGTGGATTTCGGGTTCGCATTGATTTGCATATCGAGAAGGCACCCCAAGGTTTGACTGTAACAGGATTCGATCTCAAGCCGGTACATTTGATCTGTCCAAATGTTGACCGTTGGCCCCTAAAATACTACAGTGAAAGCAAAGGAAATAAACTAGAGGCTGCTTTGGTTGGGTCTGGCATTAAATGCTTTTCCATGGACTGATCTTTGAGCAACAACAGCAGCAGCAAAAATACAACAGTCAACCAGTAGCTCTGCGACTCTGCATGGCCAAGCAAGTGACGGCCTGCTCCACCTCTGTAAGGTGCAAGCGCACCTGCCTCGCAGGAAACGACGGTAGTATCAAACTTATGAAGTCTCAAAGCACCCTTGACTTGCTGTGACTTCCTGTATTTGGACATGTTGGATTGGCTGGTAGCCGACTTTTGTTTCCTCCAGGGCACATCGCCAGCTTGTAGATCACAGCCACCAAATCGGCCTGCAGGCGTGTGCCCACTATATATATCAGTTTCAGTTGCAAGAGTACAAGTCCAGCTACTTATATAACCTCATGTATTGGTTTGCCATTAGTTGAATTGAAATATTTGAAGCACAGGAAAAGTAGGTCATCTGAGTCATCTGTGATGGAAGGCCTTGCTGTCATGGTCATCTTTTGGCGGTGGATATACAGAGCCGAGGTCGTCAAAAAACAACGCTTTTTCCTGAGGAGTCTAATTGATCAAACAAACAAGGATGCAGAAGAACCCTGTCCTTGTACATACGGAAAGCAGCGAAGCATCCAGAAGCAATCTGGTTGATTTTGTCCTCGTTCTTCTCAACAAACGCCTTGGGAACGAGCAAGTCCTCTTTGCCAGGTATTTCAGTCAGCTGGTGGCCTGTATCACGGAGTGGAAGCAGTCGTCAGAATCTATGGTCTCCTTCCATCTTCTGCAAACAGCACATTACAGCTGCAATAACACTCAAATCCTCAAAGCCATGCCTTCAAAGAAACCGCTGTGTCCAACGGATGCAAGTCTTTCTTCATAGTATATATATATATATTTAAAATTACTTTAACATATAAGGACTCTTTTCAGTTGGAGACCTTCTACAAATAACAAAGCCTTGTTGAGTGTCAGTGGCTTGACAACAAGTTGCGATGTGGCTGTGCTGTGGTGTCAGGCCTATACAAATTATATAGCTTCAAATCGCATACACAAATCTGGCAAATGCGCAGTTGCTGTGCTGACAATCTTCCTCCTGATAGTTTTAAACGGCCAACAATCAGGCTGTGCTAACTCTTTTTGGGGATTGGAGGCATCAATGGTAGTCAGCAATCCTGGCAATCCTCCAATCCGGCTGGCTGGGGATGGTTGATTTATTTGGACTATATACATTGTCAATATTGATCAATATTGTTGTGTGTGTGGCACCAAAAGCACCCGCTTTGATGGCTGTCTCAATTCACTTTCAAAGACCTGCGTGCGGCCTTCGACCAGTCACACCAGTCACTAGCATATATGGCAGCACAAAAATCACTGATACGACATTGTTATATTTATTTAAACCAAAACTTGATTCAAAATTGCAAAATACCAGCTGTTTCTATTTTTTCCTACCTGGACCTGTCACTCTTTCCCTCTTCACTTCCCTCGTCGCTTCCCTCTTCGCTTCCCTACTTCTTGTCCTCCTTGTCTCGAGGTGCTTTCGTCATTCGCCTTTGGCAACGAAAAGCTCAAAACAAGATACGCAGCTGCTTCACCGTCGTGAAACTATTAAACTGCTGGTGATTATGAAAAGTGTGTGCTGCATCATTTCATTGTGATTCACACTTTATATAAACATGCAATCGGTGTAACCGGTGTAACAGGCGTCACCGGTGTAACCGGTGCACCGAAAAGTTGTGGACACTGATTGCACTAGCAATGCACTTCTAGGTCCATTCTCTACCGGTTTTGATGACAAAATGATGCGTTTTTAACTTATTGTAAATCATGACAGGGGCTCTCCATGGCTCTCCTGATGTTTCAGGACCAAGAATATCTTGAATCGAACCTCCCTTGGTGTGACTCCAATGCGACATGAGTTATACGGTTATATATACGGTAGTTCATGAGTCCACCTTGAATACATTTTATGGAAACAACAGCGTTCAATTTCAGTTGTGGTCCGCACATTCAGCTAGCAAATCTTATTTGTTCTTCCGTTCCAAGTTCTTGGCGAAAGGATTGTCGTGCACATTAAAAGGAGATCGGCTCATCCGAAGTAACATGCCCCATGAAAGACTTAAGTGTGTGAGGAGCTGGATTCTGTGAATCCTAAACTGTTTGGCTGTGCATCACACCGTGCAAAGGCACCTGAAATCCGTCACAACGTGCATCGAGGCCGATTCTCTCTCTCTCAGCCTGACCCCCACTCCCTATTACAACAGAATACCACTTACCGCCATTTACGAATCATTATGATAAAGGGGCTTGAGCAAAAAAGACACCAAATGGGCTACGGTTCCAAAAACACAACGGATATCATTGACCCGGCCCCGTCAATCGCCCGACGTATGCGTCAAGGGTTTCAGACTGAAATGTTCACTTGGTTTTTGATGACAACTTCGTGGAGGCGAACCAGCCGCCTACCGAAGACAGCGGGCTTAAAAACATGACATGTGTTTGAATAGACTAATTCTATCTTTATACTTCTATTGGATTCTATTGGTATTTATTATGTACTGTATATACATTGACTTGGAAGAATATGCGGGAAGTATGAAGGAAGATGAAGGAGGTCAACTATGTCAACTACCACCGCAATCTCTAAGTTTCCCTTAAAATCTGGGAACCACATGAATAGTGCTAGCAATTCTTCAAGGAAGCTTCCCCCAGCCGCCATGAAGAAGCGTGAGCTATCCTGCGTCCTGTTGCTGGAAGCATCCTGAGAGCCAACTTGATTAAGTAGGCGGCTCCTTATTTAAGGGTAAGGAAGCTGTCCTCACTCGTCGTAAACTTCACTTTTGGACCGAAATCGGTAACGACTGCAACTGTTGTCGATCTTTGTCGCCTTCGCTCAATCTTGACTTTCTCTCCAGTGTTGCTTTGGTACTTGCCTGAGTTTCAACTGAACTTCAAGAGCTGTCAAGCTTTGGTTTTCACTTTACCAGCGCTACGTCTGCCAGACCAAATCGCAACATTCTGCAAACGGACATGGAGTCGTTGTTTGGAGCCGCACCAGTTTCACAAATTTCACGCAAAGCAAAGAAGCCTTCAGTGAGCTCAGCGCAGTCCTGCAAACTGCCAAATCGAGAATAATGAAGTTGAAGGTCTTCGAAGTTGGTAGCTGTGCCTGATAGACGGTGTAGCTTTTTAAGCTCTTTGCTGCTGACAAAGCTTTGAGGTCCTAAAGCAAACACACAGCCAGCTAGAAGTAGCAGAGCATCTTAATTAGGGGATGTCAAGAACTGGATCATGCCAAGACCTGTTTGTAAAGTCAAAACAACCAAGAACTACCATCCGTCCCTTCTTTAGAGGCGTATGTCAAGACTGTCATGACTTTGATGACGGATGAAATGTCCTCCAACTAGGAACTCACGCATACCCTATCATATGATTGTTTTGTTTGTCCTCGTCAGGAAAAAGAGCAGCACTCATCTCTGGCTTCATCATCGCAAGGACAAAGTGCAACATGTTGTGCTGACAATCCGTCAATGGACCAATCATCGGAGACACATATATTGACGATTAACTTTCTGTGTACGGAGAAGAGAATGGAAGCGCCTTTGGGGAAGCTGTCGATTTTGTCTGCGCCTTGCACTACAAAAAAATGATCACCTTTACCGCAATGCTCTGGCCTAGAATATTATTGTTCTTGCTGGTAGATTGTAAACCTCAGGATTAAGAGCTCCACCAATCGCTCCAAGGATACAATGCTGAATCCTTGTGGAGCTTGCGGAGCCTTGCGGAAAGGCCAAATTGCAAACTTGAAAAAATGCAAAAGCCTCTGAGGAAAAGACACCAAAGTCCCTGAGTCCTCTCAGTCGCGCACAAGGCAATTGCTGTTCAAGGCAGTCCCGAAGCGGTGAGCAATGTTGAAAAGCCTGGCAAGCAGTTCCTTGATGCCCCTTACTGACCCTTGGGGTATTGCTCATTCAACAAGTCACCAAAGTGATTAAGTGTGCCAAGGTGTGCTCACGCAAGCAACCCCGGTTGTCATTGACTGTCATCAAAGCCTGACAAAGCACGGACAGTCAGAACTGGTTTTGCTGCGTGTGAGCAAGGACACGACAAAAGACAGCCGTCTGAGGCGGCGAAAGACCTAAGCCCCCACCAAAAAAAATTGGGGGATTGGGGGTGGCTAAGGTCCTTTTAAAAACTTTTAAAATACAGTAGATTCTTGGGGGCCAACCGTGACAATACAGCTTCTGATTCATGATTTGGTAGACCCATGAGGGGGCTACCTGAAACAAATATAATGTCCAACCCTGACGTGTAAATGCCTCCAAACATGCCTGTCCATGACCTTATCCCAGGGGGCTAACGTCCAGAACCCTCCAGACCCCAACATACCAAGATCATACCCAAGAATGGGCAAGCACGACATCCTTTTCAGGTTTACTTGGTAGGAATGGGAAACTCTGACAGGTCAAATGTGGAAGTCCTTTGGTGCTGTGGAGTGGCAGTTCCTGGGCCACAGGCATTTTGTGGTAGGCTGTGGATGGGAGAGGTCTTTATATAAAGAATTCCCATAAAATAAAAACCACCCACCCCAAGCAAATTCACTTTAAGAAGGCAACACACAACCCTTAAAGTGATTAGACAATAGACATATTTTTAGTATTTCTGGTGGGGTCAGGTTGCCCTTTGGGGGGGCTGGACAACAAACAAATAGAATAAAATCTGCAATTCACCAACCTCCAACTGCACAAACCTGTTGTTGACCATGGCTTCCCAAATTATATCATTATTTGTTTGTTTCTGGAAAGGTTCGGTTTACTTGGTAGGAATGGGAAGCTCTGACAGGGCTGGCACGACAACTGAACAGTGACAATGGTCTCTGAGTTGAATGCATTTGTTTCTGTCATGTCACGTCTTGCGCCATCTTTTCAGAGAAAAGAAAAAAGTAAAACAGAAAAAACACAGGAAACACTGCATAATTGTCAAAATAAAATCTGTCAACATAAGTGAACATACATGGAAATAAAATCAGTCAGAGCTAAGGAAAACATGCACTTTATCCACACAGATTCTAATTTAGAATGTGTTGCCCTGCATGTGGCCCATGTTTTAAAATGATTTATGTGGAGCTAAGGTTCGTAACATGCCCACACAGACTTGCGCTTCAAAATAAAAGATCAATAGTTTTTTTTAAAACTGTGGTTGTGACCTCGCACAGGTCTTTTCTTGCTTGTGCCTTGAGCCAAAGCCCAAATGTTTGTGCGTGTCATCCTATGCAGGGGCGCCTGGCTTTCCCCAAAAGCATGGAATCTTGAAACTTGGTACACTTCTCAATGTGTACTCTCGATGAAAACGTAGCGTGATCGATCCTTCGACCACACTCCCCCTGGCTTCATCGAAGCCATCTCCACAAGGCAAAAATGGCTAGTTCAGCCACTTCACAAAAATATCCTCTCTCAGGCGTTCACCGCCTCATAGCTCCCGTCGGAGCTGCAGCTGCGATGTCATTCCGAATCTCCGCTCTTCTCTCCATGGTTCGGTCCTCCCAGGCCCGTTCACTGGCATCTGGGACGAAATTCCCATCCAGACTGGCACTTCATTTGGGTCAGGGGCCACCTGCTCATGTTCAGGATGATCAGGTCCCCTAGTCCTCTGCCATCTCTCTCTCTCTCTCTCTGAAGGTCAAGCCATCATGTCCGACATGTCCTCGGGCACCTTGGGACCAAAACCTATTCTCGTAGCCCAATTGGCGCGCATCCCGATCCATTGCATCCCGTGTTGAGCTCCGACTCGATGAACTCTCAATGGACTCTGTCGTAGGACCTCGCCTCACATATCGCACTTCGTGAAGCAGCTCCTCTGGTTGGCTACTACTCGGGGCGCTCGATTCCTCCACCAATGGCTCTTCTCTCGGCAGTTCCCCACCCGGCTGCTCCGCAATTGGCAGGGGTCTTCCCTCAGCGGTCCACTCACCTCCAACTCCACTCCTTCGGTCGCAGCCTCTGTGGCTCCCCCTAGGTTTGATCAATTGCACCCCGTGCTCCTCGTGCTCTCGGCTCACCCAAGGCGTTCAGATCTTCTCCAGGTTGCAACACTGAGATCGAATTCAGTGGGGTAGGAGTCGACAACTGTGACAACATTTCAGGATCTGCTGGCTTTAAAGAAGAAGGGTTTATGGTCTCCCCCCAGCTCGTGGAACTTGTAGAGCTGGTCCAGCCTGTCGACATGATTGATCAAAGACCTGCGCAACTGCATCTCGAAGGGGATGAGGGTCGGGTTGGTTCCCCACCAACCTGTGCTTGAGGTCCACCTCCTGCAGTTCCAGCGCAGCTTCCATATCCTGTTTTGGCCATCCTTGGCCACCCAACCTGCCGACATGGAGCGGGCTGGGTCCAAGCACCTTGACCTTCTTGAAGGGGTTCGTGAGCTGGCCTGTCTGGCGACGCCATCTGTTTGACCTGGCCATCGCCATATAGATCCAAAGTTGACCTATGGGCTTCGAGCTCACCCCCAACCTCTGCAACTGTAGTCGAAGTCGCTGCTCTGCTGCACGCCGCAGTGCACAGGGCCACAAGTGCGCAAAAGCAGCCTCACGCGTCTCTTCAACTGGAGCAGCTCACCCTCCACCCGGCCGCGTCATCCCCAGAGGTCATGGTGCACCATCTCCCAAGCCTGGCGCCCATCTTGCCACGGCCTTCGTCAGGAAGGACTTCTCCCGGTCGGAGTGCAACCTACATGGCCGCACGTAGCGGGCCTCCCGCTTCACGCACGCCCATCTCCCTCCCCAAACCTGAGGTTGATTGCCAGCCCAATCGCCTTGACCAGACCATCTGACCACCTCGCCCATGAGCGTGAAGACTTCCTCCTCTCTGGATTCCACCCACCACCGGCTCCACCGACCCTCCTCCCCTGAGACCATCCAGATAATCCTCAAGTCCTGGCTTTCTTCTACTGTGCTCCGTCCTCCCTTGGTTGAAGCTGATGAGGCTCATCCCCTGCTCCTGCGCAAATTTCTGCAACAACGGCCATTCGAAGAAGGAGGGATTCTCCTGTCCCCATAGGTAGCGGGGGCAGGGAGATGCCAGAGTCACGCACCCTCCTCGGTCCCGGTGGTCCTTTGCTCCTCAAGCGGCTGGTTGTGCGGCGAGGACCTCCGATGATCGCTTTCACTTTCCAGATCGGGCTAGCGAGCAGATGTATCTCCAAGTGTTCACATTGTGCAGGTTGAAGCCAGCTCCTAGTTCCTGATCAATGAACGACACCCAACCATAAGAATCCTTTAAGATAAAATCACTTGAAAATGATAAACCAAAATGGGTTTATTATTTTTAGAAAATTATATTGTTTTCTTTAAATTATGTTTTTGATAAACAAAATTTATCATCAAATAATAAAACTTTTGTTTCCAAAATTACAAAATTCCATTTCCCAAAAATAAAACAAAATTTATTATTGGAAACAAACGAATCTTGAGAGTGTATATAAGTTGTTGTTGTTGTTGTTGTTGTTGTTGGTGGTGGTGGTGGTGGTGGTGGTGGTGCAGGTCGTGGTGGTGTTGGATAGTTACTGAGTGTTCTGAGAGTTACTGAGAGTGGTGAAGGTGGTGGTGGTGGTGGTGCAGGTGGTGGTGGTGTTGGAGGGTTCTGAGTGTTCTGAGAGTTACTCGAGTGGTTCAGGGTTCAATGATGCATGTGTACAGGTGCCTTATTGTGATCTGTGGTGCTGCCAATCCAATATTGAATGCAGCCAATCCAGTTTGAGTGTTTTCCTTCAGCTGAACACAACCGAACGATACCAAAGCTGCAGGGGAAGCATAGGGACCAACTTCATGGAATGGACGCTGTGTTTCCGGGCACTGTGGTGTGGTGAAATGAGTGATGGCGTACGACAGCTGTCTGTTCTGTAGCTGTGCCAATCTGTTTGTAGTTTGTAAATTGAACAGAACAGCATCGCAGAATGTTGCGCAAAAGAACGTGCAGGGTTCATTTGCACATATGATTTTTCGCTTTGCTTTGCAAGAATTTTGAGAGCTTTGCTTTGAGAGTTTTGAGAGCTTTGCTTTGAGAGAGTTTTGAGGGAATTTGCTTGGAGAGTTCCTTGGAGAGTTTGGAGAGCTTCCACAGAGTCGGCAGGCTTGATGTTCAGTAGGTTTGATTGACCCACACGCAGCAACTAGGGCTTCAAACTTGCAATTTTGTTCGTCGCAGTATCTGGGCCACAAGTGCCCAACTTCCCAACAGTGGTTGATTGAAAGCGTTGAGGGGTTTAGAGAGACCAAAGCACTACATAATCCAAAGATTTCAAGAACTAACCAGAAACCCTTGAACGCGTTGAGCACCACCTTTTGATTTAGAGAGACGCGAACAAAACGTCTCCGTATTCCATGGCTTTGAAAACCAAGCGCTCACGGTTGTCAGCTGATGGGAATGTTTTCATGGTCAACCTTCAAGAAGCATTAGAAAAGGGCATGGCAGAGACAGGAAGGAACCTACACCACATGGTTCAGCTGGCCAGAGAAGGGCAATGCAACTGGACCAGCACGCCGAAGACCGCGTTGGGAATACTTTCCAAGTACACTGTTGCGTTCCAGGAATTGCTGATCCTGTGCCCTAACACAGCGGTAAACAAGACCAAGATTGCGCAGGCAATCTATCAGTGCCATATAGATGGCGGTGAGGTGAGCAAGTTAGCCACCTTCAGCAAGGATGATGCTGACAAGGTTGGCGAGGTGATTCGGATTAATTACCCTGATCAAACTTCGCAAATGCAGCGCTGGTGAGAAACAGCAACTAACTAAGATCGAGTGTTCTTCAGAGGTTTGAAATGTTTACATGTGCCTGAGAGTTTTGACATCGAGTTACGAGGGTTTTGTTTCTTGAGAGTTTATTTTTTCGTTGTTTTGAGAGTCTTCGAGGTCTCTTTGTGAGGAGAACTTGGAATCTAAGGTTCCAACGTACTTGCAGCATGGCCACTCAGCACGAAATCCAGATGCTCAGATCTTTGCTGGGAAGTGTTCATTACAATGACAGCCAAGCCTATCCTTTGCATGTGACCC